GGCGGGCAAGGCCATCGTGTCGCGCCAGTTCGTGGAGATGACCCGCACGCGCATCGAGGGGCTGCTGGCCGCCTTCCCCAAGCTCATGAACACGGGCAAGCAGCACACCTTCGTGGAGACGGAGAGCGTGCGCTACGTGTACCAGCCCATGGAGAAGCTCTACATGGTGCTCATCACCACCAAGAACAGCAACATCCTGGAGGACCTGGAAACGCTGCGGCTCTTCTCCCGGGTGGTAAGGGCGCGCGGGGGCGCGGGGAGCGCGCCGGGGGATCTCCGTCCCGGAGCCGGCGGCGCGCACGATCCCGGGCTTTCTGCAGCGTTTGCGAATTGCACGTAGGAAACCTGCGATTGAGCGGTGAGTGCAGGCCCTGCAGGCGTGGTGCTGCGCTCGAGCTGCCACAAAACGCTTAAGAGGGCACCCAGCCTCCTCCAAGGGCAGAGCACGGTGCCGCGGGGGTGCCCCGGGTCTGCTGCTGCTCCGGAGACGTTCCCGGGCAGCGGACGTGGCCTTCAGAGCCGCTCCGTGCCCTGCCCAGGGCCCTGCAGGAAGCTCTGCAGCTGCTCGGGGTTTGTTTGTCTAGGGCTGTCTGAGTTTCTGCGTTGCGGAATTAAGTGGTTGTCTAAATATTTGGAGCTAGGAAGGGTGGTGTGAACAACGTAGCTAAAGCTGTGCCTGTTGTTTATCAACGAGGGGCAGGAGCATTAGGAGCTCGATGCAGAGCACGGCTTGCCGGGGGGCTAGCACGAGCGTGAAGCGTGGGGAAGGTGGGCAGCAAACGCTGGCACGTGCTCCGCTGCGCTGCCCCGCACGCTCCTTCCCTGCCTCTCTCCCTGCCTAGATCCCCGAGTACTGTCGAGCTCTGGAGGAGAACGAGATCTCCGAGCACTGCTTTGACCTGATTTTTGCTTTCGATGAAATCGTGGCCCTGGGCTACCGTGAGAACGTCAACCTGGCGCAGATCCGCACCTTCACGGAGATGGACTCGCACGAGGAGAAAGTGTTCCGCGCCGTGCGAGAGGTGAGCGCGCGTCCGGCGAAACGCTGCTGTTAATGCAGAAGTGCTCTGCCCCCTTGGATACGGGTGCAGGACGTGCTGCTCTCCGGGCTAAGCGATCCCCTTTCCTCGGCCCGGGGCTTTAGAAGCACACGTGCTGAGTTTGGGCTGCTCCGTGGCACAGACCGAGATCCCCAAGCTCTCTCATGGCCCCTTTTCGTCCCCTGCAGACTCAGGAGCGCGAGGCCAAGGCGGAGATGCGCCGCAAAGCGAAGGAGCTGCAGCAGGCCAGGAGGGATGCCGAGAGGCAGGGCAAGAAGGCGCCCGGCTTCGGGGGCTTCGGCAGCTCGGCTGTGTCCGGGGGCCCCGCTGCGGCCATGATCACGGAGACCATCATCGAGACGGAGAAGCCCAAAGTGGTGCCTTCGCCTGCCAGGTGCGCGCGTGCCGGGCCGGGGCTGAGCCTTCTGCTCCCTCCTTGGGGGGCTCCTTGCTGCTCTTGATGTGACTGAGAGGGGCCCCAGCTCACCAGCACGAGGCTCACGAGGCTACTGCCATGACCGGGCTCGGAGACACTCATGCGTGTTGTCCTTCAGGCCCTCAGGTCCTAGCAAAGCGCTGAAACTCGGCGCGAAAGGCAAGGAGGTGGACAACTTTGTGGACAAGCTGAAATCGGAAGGGGAAAACATCGTGAGCTCCGTCGGGAAGCGCTCCGCGGAGGCAGCCAAAGTTCTCGCTCCTGCTGTCAACACGGAGAGGTGAGTTTGGCTCCGGCGTGGGCAGCGGCGTTCCCAGGGCGCTCTGCCCTTCCCAGCGTTTTGGCCAGAGCTGGCGGGATCTCCCCGCTCGGCTCCCACAGCAGGTGCTGTTACACCCCTGTGCTGATCACTGATCGCTCCCAGAAACAGGCAGCAGGCAACAGTCTCAGCAAGCACAGCAAAAAGAGAAAAGAAGGGGGAAAAGACGAGGCAGATCCCTCTGTCAATTAGGCAGTGCTGGGATTGAAGCGGGATACGCATCCATTGTTTAGCTCCAGCTGAGGCTGGAGATTTTCCTTTGCCTCTTGCAGTGTTGCTCCTGCCCCACAGTCAGCCCTCACATAAGGTGACGCGGTGGCCGTTTCTTCCCCTCCCCAGACGCACAGACCTGCTGCGTAACTGTGGCGCGGGACACGGGCAGTCGTTCCGTGTTTTCCGTGCGGTGCTAGAGAACCTTTCGCAGCCGTAGGTGTGAGGGAAGGCGCTGCGTGTTCGGGGTGCGCAGTGACCCGCGTGCCGAGCTGCCGCGTCGCTGCCGGCCCGGCCTCGTGTTCCTGGTGTACTTGTATCCGGAGATCCGTGTGCCCCACAGTTGTCCCCTCACTCGCTGGACACTGACCTCCCGTCCTGCTCGAGCCAGGCAGCACACTGCTTCCTTCTCTCTCTAGCGTGCACATGAAGATAGAAGAGAAGATTTCCCTGACCTGTGGCCGTGACGGAGGGCTGCAGAATATGGAACTACATGGCATGATCGTGCTGCACATCTCCGATGAGAAGTTTGCCCGGATTCGCCTGCACGTGGAAAACGAAGACAAGAGGGGGGTGCAGCTACAGGTAAGGGCTGCTGGGTGTCCCCGCTGCTGAGCGGGGCTGGCTGCTCCCCAGGGCCAAGCAGGGGAAGGAGCTCGGTGCGTTCCAGCGTGCCACGCTCCTGCCCAAGCCTTCGCAGCAGCTGCTCTGAAAATGCCAGCAGCCTCTCGCGTACATGGAGCGCCAGCTCCTGCTCGGAGGACTGAAGTTCGCTTGAAAGTCCCGTCTCGTGCGTCTCTTGATGCCTTTGGAGCCTTGTCTCCGTGCTGATGCGCGTTGGCACGCTGCCCGACTCCTCTTGCCCTCTGCAGCAGTCTGGCGTGCTGCTCGATGCCACTTTATCCAGGGAGTGCAGCTGTGCAGCAGGAGCGCTGCAATGAGGTTACTGCACTGGCAAACACTGTGTTCAGTATCTGCAGAGCTGTTTCGCTGCTGCTCCCTGTGACCTGCCCTTGCTGGGAGTATCCAAAGCGTTTGCCAGAGCTGGAGCCCCCGGGTACAGGTCATACCACAAGCCCGGGAGGATCCTAGAGCTGCTCTTCCCTTTCTCTCTCCGGGTTTCTGCTGCTCCTTGAGCTCTGGCAGTCGCCTCTGGAACGTTGCGGTGCTGCCTCCTCCTTCGGCCCAGCGCTGCTCAGGGCTTAGCTGGCTGCAAGTCCCGGGAAAAGGGAGTAGGTTCCTTATCAGCTCATCTCTAAGCAAGTTCCTAGCAGGACTCCCACACGTGCTGCTTTGGGGAAGATAAAATCAAGGCCAGTGCTGGCTCTTGTCTTTCTAGCGTAACTTGAACTGTAATGAGCAAAAATCCTTTCCTTTCAAGAAGCTGTTTGCATTTGCTGCGGTGATTTAAATACAGTTTGGCTGCCAGCGTTTGAGTAAATGTACGCATGGAGTCTGGCGATGGAAGTGGGCGCTTTCAGGATGTTCTCTGAGGTAGCGTGAGGAGAAATGCTCTGGGTTTTAAGAGTTGTTACAGCTGGTCTGTAAGTGTCGGCCCTGGCTGGGCTGAATTCCCGCAGGGTCGGGTACTGCTCCTCACGGATCAGTGCTTCCAGGAAGGGATTTTGGGTGATGAGCATAGCGGGTGCAGCGGGGCCCCTGAGGGACGGCAGCAAAGAGGGGTTGCTCCAGGCAGCAGCGTGTGGCCGTACCGCCCGGTGCCCCTTCCCCTTCCAGACGCACCCGAACGTGGACAAGAAGCTCTTCACCGCGGAGTCGCAGATCGGCTTGAAGAACCCCGAGAAGTCCTTCCCCCTGAACAGCGACGTGGGCGTGCTCAAGTGGAGGCTGCAGACCACCGAGGAGTCCTTCATCCCGCTCACCAGTGAGTAGGGCCGCGCGGGGCCAAGTGCCCGCGCGTCGCCTGTCTGTCCCCCCTGTCCCCCGC